TCTCTCTCTCTCTCTCTCTCTCTCTCTCTCTCTCTCTCTCTCTCTCTCTCTTTCTCTTCTTTTCTCCTTTTGGGCTTGGAAACCATGTCCCCAGCAGCATAGCATGATACCAAGTAACTTAATACTGGAGCTTTTCTATGAGTGGTTGCATTACGGCTTCCTCGATCCCTTCCCCCGCCCCCCTCTCCATAAATTTTCGATCATCACTTATTTTACATCCAAGAGCTTTCTCGATCACTCTGGCGGATAAAAGTTTTCTGATTTTTTTCGTTTTGTTTTTGTTTTGTTTTTTATTTAAGTTGTTCTGTTTTAGTAAGTGTTTTACGGCGCTTGCAATTGCATATGCGCGCTGGACGGACACATTAAACATTTTCAGTTTGGTCGAAATTAGCTTTGGATTTTTGCTCGAGTGGCAGCCGAAGCCTACTCTTATCGATTTTAGGACCACCAGGGGATCTTTAACGTGGAAAAACATTTTAAAAGAAGAAAATTGTCCGTCGCAGTCAGATTTTTGTGCATGAGAAACGAGACAACAACCCTCCCCCCTTTCCCTCCTAACAAAGTTGGAATAGTGCACTTGTCAAATGGGTAGCGGAGAAATGTTCATAGAAAACTTCACAGTCACGGTCGCTGTCGTTGGCGTGGGTGGCTAAAGCCCCGGTTACACGCAACGATAAGTTGTGTCAGATTCGTCGTATGCGAGAACTGTCCGTTTTATCGAGCTGTGTAGTCTGTTTAGACGTTCCTATCTATCGTCCAGTTTTCTTTCGATGAGGGAGATTCCTAGTCATTGACTACAGATGTGCAATGCACCATCACCAAGTGTCCTTGATACACAACTTCAATCATTGACGATCAACTAAATACTAAAATTTCTAAAATTTACATAATAACGCATCAAATCAGGTTCGCCGCGAGCTGCTTTGCTTATTCTGAGACGCTGATTCCGAAAATATTAAATCAGTTTTTATCTGTTTTATTTTTAAGATGTTGAGCTCTTAGTTTAATCCTGCGCGGCGGTAAAATCTCAGCGCGTCTCCTCCAACTGACCGTGATCGCACGGAAAATATCAAGCAGAGTTTGATTTCTCGACCGAGACTCAAAAGCATCGTTCAATCATCCAAACTTTGTTTAATTTAGTGGTTACACCTGACGATTTGTCTCATGATCGTCCAGTTTTTGTACAATTTATCGGTGCGTGTAACCCGGGCTTTAGAGGTTAAGCCGTTAAGCTACCGGACACGTAAACATGAATTTGCGGGTTCAGGGTTCGAGCCTCAGCTCGGTCCAGCGTTGTGTTCTTGAGAAAGGACTTTACCCGAATTTCCCATTGATCTAGATCCTTTAATAGACGAATATTAAACTCGGGGCTCCCGCCTCTTAAATAACCAAACGGTGTTGAAAAGTGCGTTAAACCTATACCGTTTGACCATTCTCACAATCATGGTCAACAGAAGTGGCCCCAGACCGAGTAAAACGCAGAAGGATATTGGAATTTTAGACGGTATTGGTACATGGTAATCGGCAATAATCAAATATCGAGATCACTAAAACAATGTGCGCAGCTCTGATAGTGCTTGACTTTGATATTTCCTTTTTTCTAAAGCGAGCGGCACTGATAACTCCACCCCCCATTGTGCCCTCCCCCACCCCTCCAAGCGTAAGTGAGGACTGCATAATATCTTGTACCAATCCCACCCCTACCCCCTCTTTTCGATCCATCCCACCATCCCACTGTGCCCCTCACACCCCACCCCACCCCACCCCCACCCCAAATCAATCTAACAATCTTATTATGCCCC